CGCTCCCCCAGTGCAACACAACCCCACTTCTCCCCCTTCCAGGCTCCCTGGCATGCTTAGACCATGAACTCACTGGGCCAGGGTCTGTTTGTTTATACTACTTCACATCATAAAGCTTTAATCCCAGATATACCCACTACGTGCCACCGCAGGCAAAGGAAGGTGTGTTTTGTAAGGATGTACTTCCCCATGCAAATCCTGCTTAACACTGAAGCCTGGGCAAACTGTGCACCTTACACCAAACGTGTTTCTATTTCAGTTCGTTTTGAAAGGCTGAGGGCACAGAGCCTTCCCCTCAATTTGTTTACATATATATATATATATACATATACTTTCCACATTTTACATGGCATACATATACACATATTTTCTCCAATCTTTACATACATGCATATACACATATATGTATATACATATATTTCCCCCAATTCTTTACATATGTATAAATTATACATACATACATGCCTGTATTACACAGAGATGATACACCTGCACATGATATTATGTCTAAAAACCAAACCTGGCCACTTCCACAATCAAATAAATTGCGATCATCATGGCTAATGCAATGAAATGCACAGACGGACCAAAATTACAATATGTAAGGCACGTAAAAGGGAAAGCTGAGGAATGTACTCTTCCTGCAGACACCTTGTGCCAAGCCAAAGAGAGCCCTGCATGGAATAAGAACAGGGTAACAGGCTTTAATGGAGCCAACAGTCTATCGTATTAGTTTGAGATCCATTTTTATGAATTACTGCTTGGTCAATAGCGTAGCAGTGCCAACGCAACTGGCTCTAAAGCATGCCAGTTTAAGAACCCAGAACTAAAGAAAATTAATCCAGTGCACACTAATGATTAAAATTGGCTGACAGGTCTCAAAGCGCAATGGAAAATACAAAATTATCCTTAGGCAAGTGATTTTCTGCTGGAGTTCTGCAGGGATTGCTTTTTACTGTTCTTAACTCCCCCTTCCCTTCAGCAATCCTGGAAGAAAACCAGCGACTGCAGTGGCAGACAATACAGGGATTAGGAGAACAGAAAGCATCAAAGAGAGCAGGCCACGGATACACATTGATCTGAATTGCGTGGGTCAGCCAGACAGAAAATACCGTGTGTGTTTTAACATAGACAAAAAAAAAAACCAACCACACATTCTTTAAGTCAGGGTGTGCTGCAGAGTGCAGCACAGTGCTTGGGAACAAAGGATGGGTCTCTGTCACTTTTGGTGGCGACATCTGAACTGCCTTTACAACACACAGTGTTTAGATCATGACACCTCCAGGCTGCAGGGAGGACCGGACACGGGAGGTGACACACGCAGTGCGAGAGCCACGGGAGGATGAGAGGAAAAGCAATTAGAGCTTTTGGAAACTGGCTACCACCAGGTTTTCTCTGGTGAAGTACAGCTCTGAAGTACATCCAAGAAAGAGTCTCAGTATGTTAGACTGATCACCGAGACACCTTCTAGAGGCTTAAGGACCATGAAGCAATGTGGGTGTAAAAGATGGAAGGGATAAGTCCTTTCCTGGCTGATAATCCTCCCCTTTTCTGTCCACTCACTCCAAGAGCCCCTCAGGTCCCTTTCTCCTGCGCATGGGCTCCAACACTGGAAGGGACACTGTGGCCACATCCACAGCTCCTGAGAGCTGTTTCCCCTGCACTGTAAGCAAGTGCTTTGGCAAGTCCACGATGAGAGCAATGTGCTACCCTCATCACTTTGGAGCATCTTCTCTTCCTGCCAAGCAGCATAAGAGCAGCCCCATGATCCAAATTTCCTACACTTGCCTCTACGATGGCCACCCAACGCACCGATGACGCCGCATCGCTCAGTGGCACAGACACAACAGACTGCTGGGTTTCTTTTTTTTCCCCTTTTCAAAAGAAACCAACAACAATCATGGGCCACTAGAGGATTTTTCCAGGTATTTCATGCTTAATCACAGCTCTTCTCACCTGGCATGCACAAGGGCTCCAAGACAGCCACAGCCAGAGAACAGTAAGAAAAACACCCTGGTGAAGTTCATGGAGATGCCTACACAATGTTCTGCAGGCAGCCACGAACTCACTGTGGCCATTACAGCAGCATCTCAGCCAGCTTTCCCATAATTTCTGCAGGGAATTCGGTTACCTAAATAATTGCATTGTTTTAAAAAAAAAAAAATCCAGCTGATATATTAGAAGTATGATTCAAACATCCATTACCTCAACTATACACAATTCACTACCTTAACCAGAAGAGTTACTACTACAAAATTTTATAGTTCATAGAAACATCATGTTAGTTTTATGCTACATAAATACTAATTTGTGACCACAACATGAAAGTAAGAAAACTCCTACTAGGAATAATTTGCAAAAGATGCAGTTTCAGGTAGATTTTCACAGGTAAAGGTGTGAACTCAGGCAGAATGTTCCCAAATTTGAAGCCTTTATGCCTAAGAACAGGAAGAGTGTAACTTCTCCAAAATCAGCTGCCAGAATACATCATCTAAAGACATTACCTCTAAACTTTTTTTAAAATGTCTAAACTACTTCTTGCTGAAAGTTTCCAAAATTCCCAATGCAAGATGTGTCAGCACTGAAGTTCCCAGTTCAAAGAGTTTGGAAAAATAGTAAAAACTGAAACAAAGCATCTGAATTAAAGGGTTTAGGCATCCTCAGCATAGATGTTACCCCCATCCGCCTCCTCATCTTTCCTACACACTAATACAGAATGGCAGAGAATTTTACATGATTTTATTACACAAGTATTTAAGTATCATTACCTACTACGCTACACACAACCAAGCGTAGCTGTGCAACCTTACCCTTGCTAAAACCATCTAACAGGGTTTCAGGGCTGATACTGAGACGCCTGGAAATTGCTTTGTATGTCCAGAGAGGACCTTAAGTGAGACCCGCCTGTAACCCAAGGAAGCTGCTCCCCGTGTCCCAGGTGGAGCACAGCTCTGAAGTCCCATTACAGGGTCACCCAGCGACTGAACTTTCAGGCTTGAGATTTTACTGCTGGATCCACTTTCTTTTCACAGCAACCACCTTCTGACAGGCAGGACAGCGAAACTTGACACTTGCCATGAGGCACATGGTGACTTTCAGCTAATCCCCTTTAATGAGGAATTCCCAAAGTGCCTCTCAAGCAAGGGGTCGGCTAATCCCATTCACTGACAGGATTTTTTTTTGCTCTTAGAAAATGGAAAGTGGCTGAAAACAAGAGTATTTCCTTTTATTTTGATTTACAGATATTGCTTTGAAGAGGAAAACCATGACATTTGGATATCTGGAAACTTAAACATGAGCTGTTCCTGTACATTATCGTTAAACCAGTAACTTCTTTTAGATGTTGGAGAAAAAGGGGCTTTTAGGCCAGCTCTCTCATTTAACCAGCTGTGCTGAGATTTGTCAGTTGAAGCAGTAAAAAAATGCTAATATTGTATTAAGTGAAGATTAAACAGCTCATAAGAGTATTTAACTGTCATTCTTTTACAGACAGTGATTAGATAAAAACTAATTCTTTTTAAAGATAAAAATGTCATTGTTAAATCAGTATAAGAAATTGAAAATCAATAGTCTATACCCTTATATGAAAGGTGCAATATTTTAGACTGATGGCCACACAACATACTTTCTTAAAATGAAGAATATGTGCCTCCCACTGAGCTATACTGGATCTGTGACAAAAAGGCTGGGTAATGTCTGAGCAAAAGGAACAGCAAACCAGGGCGATCTGAGCACTGCACATACAGGACCTGGAGCGTACTCAACGGTTTCACAGCTCTTCCCAACATCAGAGATTTGTTAAGGCACCGAGGAGCATCAGCTGAAGATGTCACCTGTGTTCAAAACACGCCAGACATGAAAGAACTCCAGCTACTTCACAGGATTTCCAAAACGAAGCGTGTTGCTTTACAATACCATAATCTCCTGAGCCTTCAAGAGCAGCTACCTTTAAAATTAAACTATATTTAGGTAAATGCAAAACCAGTAAATGTTTCCACTTACTTTTCAGCACTCAAATTGTCAAAAGAAATTATGTCAGTGCTGAGAATTCATTTCAAATGAACTTAGCACCTACCTCCAGCAGTACAGGCAGCAGTGAACCTTACATTGTAGTGGTGAGAAGTGATTAAACCAGTACCTTCTTCTTGAATTGATGGAAAAAAAAAATACCTAATGTAACCTAAATTTGCTTCTGTTGTCCTGCCACTTGTAGGTCTTTACGAGTATTTACCTATAAAGACTCCTTTTCATGGGTCATAAACGGAGCATGAAATTGTGAATGGCGAAGCCAATGCTGATGCTGACCAACATCAGTCCTCACGAGAGGACTGGAGGAACAAGGAAACAACTCTGAAGGTCTGTTCACGCCACACATCATTTCTCTACAGGTACTTTTATGTGATTGCCTGCAATGCAGTCACTGCTGTGGCACTTGTCTGCACAGTCCCGAACGTGCTCTGTGGTGTAAGGGTGATTATTGCTAGTTCAGATGTAGCTACAAGAAGCTCCGTGCTTGATAATCACTTAACTGTTCAGTTCACCGGTCAAACAGGTTTTGCCCATCGATCTACACGCAAGACAATTTTCAGGAAACAGATGACATTTTACAGCTCAAGCAATAAATCATCTACTGATACCGGAGGCAGGGGAGCAATCTGAGAGATGAAGAGCTGTATCTTAACTTTACATGTTAAGAGTTTGACTCTAAGAAGCATTGAGGAGACATTGTGACACACTCAAAGTGCATCGTCAGTGATATCTAGCCCCAAACAATGATGCTCTAACAAACACATTCAGGGTAGGTACGTGGGGCAAGCCAAGTGTGGTAGCCACAAGGCATGTCCCAAAAATGCAAGGAGAAAGTGTTGCTCTGGTATCCCAGTGATACAGTGAAGTAACACAGATAAAGCTCAAGACTGGCATCAAAAATTACTTCAGGGGAAGTTTCTGATTTGGCACGCTAGACGGAGTTTTCAACAAAATCCATCCCCAGCACTGACCTCTTGAAGTGGCTTGCCAGGACTCCCACCAGCTCTCCAATCCTGCTGTCATTAGAGGGCTCTTTGCTGAAGAGACAGACAATGAGATCCTTGTTGTCTTTCGTGTGGAAGACCACGAGCTGGTCCTTTCCATTGGAGACACTCAATCCTATCAACTGTGAAGAGAAAGCAAGAACAATGTTACATATGTTGATAAATCTTTGCTACTCTCCAGGCCAGTTCTTTCCTCCCTAGGGTGTCACGCTCACTCTCAACTTCTACCTCTGCCAGAGAGCTCAGGGGAACGGCAGTGTGCAGGCAGGTCCTCAGTACTCCTCCCACAAGCTGAAAAAGTCAAGATGGAACAACAGTGGTTTTTTGGAAGTCAACAGTCTCAAAGGTGCGAGGAAATGTTACTGTCTAGACTGGGATCATTCTGAGCAACTCTTGCCAGAAACGGCACAGTCCTTCTGCCTATCCAGCACCATGGGCCACCCACCAAAGAGTGCACCAGGAGGATTTCTAACAGCTGAAGCTTGCTTTCCCCAAAATCTCACACTGGATGACACCACGCAAGCCTGCCTTTTTTCTTTTTTTTTTTTTCCTTTTCAAAGGAAACCAACAATAATTATGAGTCTGGCCAATAACCATCTTCAAATTCCCATATGCAGTGCTGGGAATGCAATGATAGGCAGGTAACGGAAGAATGAAGCTTACTGAAAACCTAAACAACTTGATGAAGAGTATTTGCAACCCCACAAAGCTGTAATGATTCCATTGTTCAGGTATGGATTAAGGTCTTGCTGTTCTGACAAAATAAAGAAACGTGGGGTTTTGGTTTGGGCTTTTTGATTTTTTTTTTTTCCTGTTAAGTAACTTTTGTTTTCATCATCTCACACAGTAAAAGCAGGAAATTTTTAGGAGTTGCAATCTGGATACACAGGCTATTCAGATGAATATTAAAAAAGCAAAAAATTAATCTACACTAAGGAAATAAAGTATAAGGATGGCAAAAGGAACATCAAGAGGCAAGCACACCTAAAAAACATGTGTTAAAAGTAAAAAAAAAAAAAAAAAGAGAGAGAGAAAGGCAAAAGAATACCAAGTATATAGAGAGAATACAGCAGAACTTCCCTGTCCACAAAGGACTACATGACTCCTTTGAGTGATCCAGAGGTTTGCATTCTCCTAAAAGTGAGAGGCACCGCTATAGCATTTTGTGGAAATGAAAGTCTCATGATTCCCTTCTTAAAGAAAAAACCCTTCTACGCAACCCCACTGCCAGTGTCGGGAAGGATATTAGCACAAATCAAGCTGGAGACTACTCACTCCTTTCCGAAGCATGAATCACATTCAGAAACAGTCTGGATCCATATGTTTGGTTTAGCAGTCACAACGTATTATTTCCAAGAAACCTGTTTCAGCTCTGGATGTCTAACACATACCAGACAGCAGCATCGTCCCAGAAAAGCACGCCACAACCAACACGCAGCAGGGCGGTGTATGCCCTATTTTCTGGATGAAACACTACACAAGTTTAGAATCACTCATATTTTGTTGGCTTATTATCACAATAGAAGAGTCTGTCTGAACTACAGTAACTGTTGATATTTTAAACACTGAGCAGAGACCTCTGGCTACCAGTTGCATAATCTACCCAACACAGGTGGAGTTTATTCTCTACCGCTCACGCTATTTTGAGGTTATGAAATGCTTTTAAAACAAGCTACACTTCATGCACAGACATTAACAGCTGCCTGGGTTTACAGTGTCCCTTAAAATTAATTTGCATGCTTAAATAACATCCTGTGAGCACAATAGCACCACAGGGACTACTGCCATCAAGGTTTTAAATGTGCACAGAGTGTGAAAGATGAACAAGTTGAAATCTTTGGATTTGAAAAGCCTATTTAAACATTAATTATTCAACAGAACTGTGTTAAAGGTCCAAGAGCCCTTCAAAATTTTCCTATTTCACCCCTCCCCGTCAGACTATCTGAACAAATAAATATAGCACAAAAGAAATCATTTCAGAGAAGGTGCTTATCTCAGTGTTTACAAACACTACTATTAGCTTCGCTTGAAGATGAGGAAAAAATTCTCAACATCTACAGAACATCCTTTATTGTATTCACCACTACTGGGAAAGCTAGTTGCAAGATCCTTTCTGCTGCTCAGTCGCCTTTTAATTGCTTTCTGACATTATCTGTTTATTTTCTCTCCAGGTAAGAACAAAAAGATACTTGTATATCCGTACTTCTGAGGCAACTGCCAGAATGCTTGCACACAGAAAATCCCCCCAAGTAGCATCTCAATCCAGCGAAATAGTCAGGGTTGAAAGGAAAGTTATTGCTTTGTCATCGTTTGTACAAAATTACAGATTCCTCACACAGAACACAAAATAACAGATTGTAGAGCCTGGGACCCGAGCAGGCACACATTATGGGCTGTACTTAAACCATTTACATGTAAACATAGTTAAAAGGGATGGGGAACTGTAGTGTCATTTCTCCAGCCGAAAACAAGTTTATGGTCATAACAGACATCAGCTGACTGTCTCCAACGATATTTCCATGGAAACACCATCCCTGAGGATGTCGCCATGTTGATAGGGTGCTTTGGAACTGCTGGCAGCCAGCAGTACAGCTGACAGGCAGCGGAGTTTCAGCTGGGTTCACCTTTACGTATCGGAAGGGCAATCCATCTTCCCCAGCGACCACCCATCCTTCTAGCAGGACATATTTGATACACCAGTACACATCAAGACTGGTGTAAGCATTATCCATTTGCTTCTCAAAAATCTTCCTATGAGTTCAAACAAACGTTCTTTCCCTGAAAGGGAAGGAAGCTCTGTATCACTGACTGTCTACTTACACCGCCTCCCTGTACACAGTAAAAGGGTTTCCACACAAAAAGGGATCGTACATGCAGAAGAATGAGAGAGAGATGAAAGGCAGCTAGCTCAAGAGGTGAAAGACAACACATATGCAGATAATTTAGTAAAAATATAAAACAAAACTACAGAAGGAAAAAACCAACTGCATCACAGCATTAACCATTAGCAGGAGTTCAATTTATGAAATCCTGGCAAAAGAAATACAAATATTTCATGTGGTATATATGAACCAAATACATTTCCAAAGTCTCCTCCTCTCCCCTCTTCCTGAGGCACAGAGGGGTCAGCAGTAAATCAGGAGGATCAGTGAGCACGCCCCAGCACATGATGCAATCCCCATGTGTACGTGCAGATTTTCTACTGTTCCCCAGAACCACGGTGCAGGAGAAGCAGGGAAAAGGAGAGGCTGTGGCCAACAGAGCAGAAATTTATCACCACAACACTTACCAAAGATAGCCTTCATCAAATTTCCACTTTGAAATATTATTCTGGCACCTGTGTGAGTCAGTGAAGGGTCTTTTGGACTCATCCCGCCTGTTCAAAGTGTGCCAGGACCCCTTTGCCATTGCCCAGTTCAAGAAGCCTTGGTGGCTAAAGGGAATATTGCAGATGTACGAATAAACCCGATTTATACCTACGGAAATTTAAGTATTCTAAGAGTAAGAGACTGATATGCACAGACCATTAACCGTTCTGGTGCCAGAAGAAATGCAAAGCAGACAGCCAACATACAGTGCACTACAGCACTCTGAGGGAATGGAAACTCTATTTCAGACATCCGCGTTCTGTGAACAAAACATTAACTACCAACGTTTCTAACTAACAGATATCCTATAGGCAACCTACAAATTGTATCCAACTCGCTCACATTCTTTAAATGCATTAATCATAAAAATCACAGAATTATTTGGGTTGGAAGGGATCTTAAAGCCCATCCGGTCCCACCCTCTGCCCTGGGCAGGGACACCTTCCCCCAGCCCAGGTTGCCCAAAGCCCCGTCCAACCTGGCCTTGAACCCTGCCAGGGAGGGGGCAGCCACAGCTTCTCTGGGCAGCCTGTGCCAGGGCCTCACCCCCCTCACAGGGAAGAATTTCTGCCTTACATCTCATCTAAAACTCCCCTCTGTCAGTTTAAACCCATCAACCCTTGTCCTATCCCTACACCCCCCAACAAAGAGTCCCTCCCCACTTTCCTGCAGCCCCTTTCAGCCCTGGGAGGCCGCTCTAAGGTCTCCCCGGAGCCTTCTCTTCTCCAGCTGAACCCCCCAACTCTCAGCCTGTCCTCACAGGGGGTGCTCCAGCCCCCCAGCATCTTTGTGGCCTCCTCTGGCCCCGCTTGAGCAGGTCCGTGTCCTTCTGCTGTTGGTGCCCCCAGAGCTGGACCCAGCACTGAAGGGGGGTCTCACAGAGCGGAGCAGAGGGGAGAATCCCCCCCCAGCCCTGCTGCCCACCCTGCTCTGGGGGCAGCCCATCACACTGTTGGCTTTCTGGGCTGGGAGCACACGTTGGTGTCTCACAGTCAGTTTTCCATCCACCAACACCCCAAAGTCCTTCTCCTTGGGGCTGCTCTCATTCCACTCCCCACCCAGCCTGGATTTGTGTTTGGGATTGCCCCGACCCATGGGCAGGACCTTGCCCTTGGCCTTGTTGAGCTCCATGAGGTTTCCACGGGCCCATCGCTCAAGGCTTAAGAGTTTCAGAGGAAAACATTCAGACTACCCACAATGACAGTCTTGTGCTGTTATGTAAATGTACAAGCTCCACCTTTAGACCCATCACACACATAGGTAAAGCGGCCATTTTTCTAAAGCAGCGATAAATACAGATTTACCTGTACTTACTAACATAGTAAGTGAATTGCAGTGGCCTAGCCATTTTGTATAAGGTACAAACATAGCGAACTAATAGTGAGAAATTGTAATGGACAAAATTCCACCTCGTCCACCTGAGCTCACCTTGACACTTTGCAAAAAACATGCCCATCTAGGAAAAACACTCTGCTTAGAGTCTTCATGTATTTGAACAAGTTGGTTTGCACAAACAAGAGTCAGCCATTTAGCAGCGTAATCTGCTGACAATTTCATTTTGCACAATTAAGAGATAATGTCAGTAGAATGGAACATCAACCAAGGAAAATGACCTGCAGCTGCTAACTCCCTGGCAGTAATGTCTTTTCAAAACAAGAGGCACTGCCACGCAGACACCGCTGCACTACAGAGGATGCTCCTGCGAGGGTACAAGCACGTCACTCCACCCACACACGCTGGGTGACCAGCGAGGAGGTTAGAAGAGGACCTATAAAGTTAACATTACGGATGCAGTCTGAGCTAATCATTCACTCCACATCTGCAGATTAGATTTTACTGTTACCCTAACCTCAACTCTGCTCTTTCAGCAATATGCAGATGCCAGATTTATTATTTCTGCAAATGCAAATGTCCCAACAAATTTGTGTATGGCATTGCCAAACAACCCAGCCAGGTTCTGTAGGTTTAAGATAACTGTAGTAGTGTTACCTCAGGCTGAGGAAAACAAACAAGCAGTTGAATCCACACTCCAGGATCCTGAAGAGCTACGATGAGGTTTTCCCCCATCCCCCTTCATACCAGTGATAATCTGCTGCTTTGTCACTGGCAGCTAAACTCTGCTACCCCGAAGGCCAGATACCTCACTATAATTCTGAATTTAGCTTTGATAAGATTTACATTAAACATGAACAAATATTAAGAAAAAATTTCAAACACGACATGAAGGATCAAACAAACCCCCAGAGACACAGAAATTGTGTCATAAGCTGCTGTGAAATGCTAACCCCCTTATGGGGGCAGGATCTTGCGGCACACAGAAGATAAAAAACAAAATAGAAGAATGAGCAGAAGAGAGTGTGATAAGCAGTTTGGGTTTTAGCTTTTATTTTACGCACTGAAATTAAAAGCTAACATGATGCATCAGTGCTGTAGTAACTGTTTTAAAGACATTAAATATATTAAAAATTGTAAACCAAGGTCTTTCCATTTTATGGATGTGAAAATGGAACTAAACAGTAGATGCACCACCCATGACTAAGAGTCAGAGATGAAATTCCCCACTTCTTGTACTTACATTATAGAGGGGGATGGTCTTCATCACTTTGTACTGCTTCATAGGGTCCATCTTATAAAGGTGCCGATCAGTAATGAAGATAGCTCTGTCCTCCACCTTATTAAAGCGATTGACCTGTAAAGAAGCAAATTTTCAGTCCCAATAATCACTGCAAGAACATGCAGAATAAAACTCTGCAGCAGTAAATACGCAAAACTCACACAGAAAATACACAAAACTCACACAGCTCTTAAACAGATTTTTTCCACAGATCCTGAAACAACGAAAAGGGAAGATGGACCCTGTAATTCCATTTGACAAATATAGAAAAGCAGAGCCTTGGAGAAGCAACATCCTCAGAGTTATCTAGCAGGGCTGGGGTGAGCTGGAAAAGTCCCTGGCCTCAATGAAATGAAGGACAGATGCTTTCCCCAGCAAGACTTAACCTGCACCCCTGTCTGCTGGCAGAAACCAAGCCCAAGGCAGGAGGCTCCTGTTCCTACCTTATATATGTGCCTTTGTCATCCCAAAAGCATGATGCAGAGCATGTGCCCCACGGAGCTAAACAGGGTGCCACAAGGGTCTGTGAGAGTCCAGACCTGAGGCATTTGAAAGCAGAAGCTTTGGACCATCCTAACTTTGAGCAGGACCCATCTCCCTCGTTTAAAAGGTCTGTGCCTTGGACGTAGGTAAACCACTCACCCAAGAAGTGGGAAACCTGGACGACCACCCTTCCCCTGCCCACTAGTGGATGTGTGAGCTGAGTACAGGCACGCTCCACCGGTTTTGCTGAAGTTGTGCCATTCTGCAAGAAGGAAAGAGACTGAAGGGGCCAGAAGTCTGGGAGAGCCAAGCCTGTATGGAGGGACCCAGGCAACCAGCTGGTGGGAGGAAAGCAAGGTTATTTCTTGGCAAGCAGAAGACCCAAATGCCCTCAGGCTGCTAGGGGTATTGAACACAAGCCTCTCCCTTCCTAAGCAAGAGAGGCAGAGTGAGAGCACAACCAGTCTCGTCTAAAGGCTCACTGCCACTGAGAACAGCGTCCTGTTGCCTCTTCCAGGAGGTCCTGGGCCCATACCCTGCGCCAGCTCTGATGCTCCTCAACCACATCAATTCACCAACTTGACAAAAATCTGCCCTTAGTGTGAACATACAGAGAGAAGGGTACAACGAGCATCAGAGCCATTGCAAGGGAAAGAGGGTGAGGCTCTGGGTAGTGATAAACAGGGGAAGAAAAGAGGACAGCTCTGTTCAGCAGCAGCAAGCTATGAGATCAGTTCAGCTGTCCCAGACCCGTATTGCGAGTACAGCAGATTTTTTTTTATAGAGGTGGACATGGCTCAACCCATATTTTAACTTGACTTTGTGTTCTGTTAAGCACATGAGGCAAAGATGTCTAGGGATCACCAGTGAGCTCAAGCTCCTCAAAAGAAATTATTTCAACAGGAGCTCACTGCCCATCTATGCTGTCCAGGGATACTCTGGGAACACAGAGGGCAGAGCTACAGCATCCAGCAAAATTCAACCAAACAAGAAAGCACCCACAGGCACCTGTGCACCTCTAAGCTTAACTGACACGAAGGGAGATTTTTAGTTGATTTGGTTTTTGTGAAACGCTTGTACCATTCGCAGGTTATTTTGAATCCAGACTCTGGTCTCCTGACCCCCAAACCACTCCCACAACGAACTTACTACTAAGAAAATCACAGTGCACTTCAAACAACTTTAATACTGGCTTCCAAAAAGAGGCAAAGGTGTTTTAATCTTCAAATGACTGTATCCTCTGACAACGTTAGGGTATGGAGGAGATGGACCTAGGCTTCTTGGAGAAGCACAAGGACAAGAGGCAACAGGCAGAAGATGCAGCAACAGTAGAAAATCCAATAGGGGAAAAAATTCTCCCCAGGAGGGTGGTAGCCCTGGGACAGGGCTCAGAGAGGCCATGTAACCTTCATCCTCTGGGATTTTCAAAACTCAGCTGAGAGCCTCAGCAACCTCATTTAACTCTGAAGTTAGCCCGGCTCAGAGCAGGAGGTTGGACCCCAGACCTCCAGAGGTCCCCTCTCCCACCTAAATCATTCTGTGATTTCATAAGCCCATATGCTACCAAGAAAACAGACTTCACAGTATCTGAGATATTCTGACAGTTTCTAATAGTTCAGCAAAGACAGCTTAGTGTTGCCACTGGGAAAAATTAATATCTTAGTATCTTAATGTTGCTACTGGGCTCTACAGTTGTAAATTTAAGACCAATTATAAATACAGGCTATAATTCAGTGAAGAACCATTAGTTGCCTGCTGAGGCAAACCACTATATTATCACCTGTAATCTCACTGGCAGTCAACAGCAGCAGAGATTATCTGTGTATATACATCCCAACCCTCACAGAATAATTTTAGGCATACTCAAGAAGTTGGTTCACTCTAATTTGAACTCAAAATACTTCCCACCTGGGATACTGCTTGTGTAACCAGGCACTCAGTGTATGGGGAAAATAAATTCCATCTTGTAGAGTACTTATGTGTGGATCAAATCTAAAACTTTTTTTTTTTTTAAATAGCAATTTTACATAACAGTTCTGATAAGGGAAAAGTTAACTCTTGGAAGACAGCAACATGTGAACTCCCCAGCAAGTACTGTTGAAAACAGCCAAGTGCAGAGCCCCACATCCCAGTATTTTGCTGCAGTTCATACACCCAGTTACCTTGTGGGAAGAACAATAGAAGAACAGATTATTTAAGTACCAGCTAATGATGCAAAGGAATGACACGGCCCAGCAGCAAGCTGTATACAGTGGTCATATATTACATAATTTATCTTAATTCCAGGTATTCTGATGTTCTGAATTCATGTCTATTTTTGGCCACCAATCATGTCTCCAGAAACAGCATCCTTCTGGTACCAGACAAATTAAATCACCAAAACTGCTGTCAAATGCCATATAAGCACCTCTGGAAAATTACTGTAAAAATATGCAGCTGTTTATTAAAAATGTACTCAATCAAAGGATACAAGATACTAAATGTTGTACCTTTACAACAGCATCTGATCTGGGAAAGATCCAGGAAGACTGAAGCTAATGAATGACATTCCACGCCTTATGGAATTAGTGTGATTGTTTACAAAACCAGAAGTGGGAGGATCATGTTACGGCACGAAACAAAATTATAATCTCTCCAGAGAAGTGTTTTATACCCTGGGATCATGCCTCTGTTCCTATCTCCTTTCTAAACACAGATCATTTCAATTCCCCCCATCCCACTGCAACTCATCACAAATGTTCTTCCTAGGCTGCTGGTAACGTCAGGCTCCAGCAAGCGGGGTTTTCACAGAGGAAACATGCATCTAGCTAACACTGCAATTAATTTGTCCAGGAAATGCTACACCAAAGGAGAACATCTGATGTCATCTAGACTTTCAGATACCCCAAGAGGCCAGGTCACAAAGTAAGATGCAAACTTTTGTCAAAAGTAAGTGAGAAAATAGGACACAAAGTAGAAATTATTTTTCACTAAGGCAAAGCTGAAGTCATCAGTGTATCACAGTCACAGAGACATTTATTAATCAATTGAGAAGGGTAGACAAGGGTGAGATGTGATGAGGCAGATGAACATAAATAGGATTTTCCTAGGTGAAGTCAGGAGACAACTGGAGAACTTAAATATTCTCAGTCAATAGGCAGCAGAGTGACAAAGTTCAGAGCAGATAAAGGCAAAAAATGCTACTTGGAGAGCTATATGACAGCTTTAAATTAACAGCATCAACTCAGAAAAAGTAACTGAAGATGATTTTAGACAGCTTTGGATAGATCTTGGCACAAACACGCAAGGCAGCTGAAAACAAGCAAGGCATTAGCATGTGGTAAGGACTAGCATGGGGAATAACGTCCTGGGTGCCATGGTCTCACTCGGAATAGTGTGTAAAGCACAGCAATGGTGAACGTGAAGGAGGCTCTAATGGTTCAGAGAAGGTAAAGAATGTGATTGAGGGCCTGGAAAATCTCCCAGGAAGAGATGCTGAATAACTGGGATTATTTTAGGAAGCAGATGAATGGGAGAAAAAAAAATAAAGGCTATGAAACACTGAATGGCCCCAAAAAAGTAGGTTAGGAGTGTCTGGTGCTACACACTGAGTTGTTCGAGCAGAGTAGCACAGGCTCCTCAAACCATAATTTGGCTGTGCAGCTTACAGCACACCACGCTCCACGTCTTGCGAGTTGAGGGCAAAGCTTCTCCAGCCTGCTTGGCTGTGATCTGCCCCACAGACCTCAGATCTGACGCTGGGCGGCCACGGTCCCCAATCACGTCCTTCTGATTTATGTGAAATTTTTTTTCAAAGAGTCTGACCCCACCACCTCTTCACTGCCATGATCCTGCTTGTTGCTCCCATCTCCCATCATAATGGGAGCCTGTGGTCAGTGCCCAGGGTGACAAAGGGAGCAGAGCTCTCTGAGCTGGGCCACCAGAGGCACCCCACTGCAGAAGGTCCTCAGCTCCTGCCCAGAGAGCAGGGATGGGAAGCACGCCCAGCCCTCGCAAGGTGAAGGAACACTCTAGTTCTGCAAGCATATTTGAAACTCGCCTTCTTTCTCATGGTTACCCACCGGTTTTAGTGTTCACACTGAACAATAAATTCAGATAAACAGCTAAAGAGATGAACCAAAGGGGAAGTCCAGCAGCTTCTCTCACCTGAGAAGCAAATTCTTGTTGCTCTACAACTCGTGTCCTGTTCAGCTCTTTCCAAGCAGCCGCTTTGCTTCAGGTGTCTCATGCACCTATGGTACATTTATGTAAATAATACACGCTGTGGTTTTAGAATTAAACTGTCACATTGGGAAGCATGCACTGAAGAGATCCAGACAAATGCCTGCACATTGCAAATGTTACTATTCTTTTGATTTTGTAGGAGTAAAGACAGGCCTTATGTTCTCAGATACAACTTATATCCTCATGGAGAACAACCCTTCCTAGCATTGTGTTCTCTGCACCTTCTGGGCATTTTTTATTTATATCTTAGTTGATCCAAAGTGAATCAGTCCTAATTTAGCTTCTTGACTACCTTATGGGGAAAAATGAAGGTCTAGCCTATAGCAGAAAAACCTCCAAATGAGCTTTTCAGGTCTCTGCCAGGGGCCTCTAAACACCACAGGGCTCAGGCTTTAGAAGAGATGGTCCTCAAGGGACCTTGGTGCCACAAATGACAAGGGAGAAAGTAGGAAGAAAGGACTTATTCTAAAAAAAAAACCCCCAAAACAACCAAACCCAACCTCAAACCAAAAAGAAACTGTTGTTTCCAAGGTGATACAACAAAATCTGGTGGTATGCATGAAATATGCATTTGGTTTCCTAAGGCAAAAACACTTTAAAATTTCCTTTGAAAAATTAAGAGTTTGATGCTCAGAAAAGATGTATTTTTCCATAGGCAGAAATGACCTGCTTCTACCTATACCTACTGCGAGAAAGCAAACACATGCACCTCCCATCAGCGAGACTTCAAAGTCTCTTCACAGACCTTCTATAAAAAGAGCTATAAAAGCTTTGGTCCAAACAGATTCACCCGTTATTATTCATCTCAAGCTGTTGAAATTAAGACCCCACGCACTCAAGCTAAAGAAAACTTTACCAGCATTTATCAATACTTCAAGAGCAGTTCCCTGGCTGGTGAGAGTTGGTATTACTTCACCAGAACAACGTCAATCATTAGCTAAAAATTCTGACTTAAAGAGTTTAATGGTTAGCAAATATCTTACAGGTCATAAGACATCTTCTATGAATAAATATTTTTAAATACATGAAGTCGAGGCTTAACTTGTGTCTATGCAGTTGCCCAGTACTTATCCTTTTAATTTCTTTTCTTTCCAAGGAAAGAAGTGTATTAGACTGCAATTATCTGAAAATTTTAAGAAGCAGCCCCCAAACATTGCTGCTGACAGTCAAGAACTACTTCACACATGGCGTGATGATTCGGTACCCTACTGAAAGCCGCAAAGGAAGTCTGATGCTGCTCCAGAAATAAAACATTCACCTCAACTCACTACAGTGCTCTCTCGTTACCACTAACACCTTCCTGCCTGCCCAAGGGACCAGCAGTAACAGCACATTTTTTGCTCAAGAATCCTTAAATAACCCAAATCGTGAAAATACACTACAAATGAACTTGAGCAACCCTATTCTGTGGACTGATGCTTTTTAAAGGAGTATTATTTAAGGGAAGCAATGAAATCACCCGATAATTAATTACATTTTCATTTCTATAACTCACTCTTTGGTCCCTTGCTAAAGCTTCATGTGAACCAAATTTCAGCTGAGAAGCAAACAGCAGTTTGCAAAACTAGAACAAACCATGTTTAGCACAAGAAATTTGACAAACTTTCCTGCAGTGAAAGGCACTCCCTTTCAAATGCTCTGACCACCAAGACAGCCTTCATGTACTAATACCAACTGCCACACTCGTGCAAGTAACATTTGGTATAAAATGAGGAAGTTAAAGAAGGATAAGGCTAAAAGAAAAGAACAAACATTTTTTTAAAAAGGGAAGAATGCAGCAATTAGAAGAAATTCCCTCTGCCCCATAGCACTGAAAGCTGATCCTCAGACTGCTGTTATAGGCAGAATACTACAGCTTGTATTTTTGACAAGAAAAACACCTTTCTTTTTAAAAAGACAGTTTAGGGTATAAACTATTTTGTGTAAAGAGTAAAAGAAGGCTAATGTTGTTTTCAGGGTAAAGACTGTTCTTGTAGTCAAAGCACAGAGTCGCTCACAGGCTCTACAAGAGTTTTCACTGCTGCTTGATCTGCAAATCCGATGTTCAAATTTGAGGCATAATAGATTACCTAAAGAAGTGCATTGGTTGGAAAGTGAAACGGTAAATCTTGAAATGTCAAATCTTTGCCTTGTTAGCTTTCAAAGTTCAGGAGTGTTTGTCTTCTCTCCTTTGTGCACTTCAGGCTTGCCTGGACATTTCTTGTCCATACAAGAGGGAAGGCAAATGGTTTACTCCAAAAGAGATTACATCCAAGCATGGATTTGAAAGGGGTCACTTGTTTTTGAGTTTAAACATGGAGATGTACTGAAATCACCAGGCTTACACACATCATTAAAGATCCTACAGCAATGCTGAAATGATTTTATCCATGTGTTGGAGGAGAGGTGCTCCTATTTGTTTCTTTCAGACCATCATTTTCCTAAAGGAGCTGCTGCATTTTCACTAAATGTAGCTATATGTTTTCCTAACACAGATCCTTATGAATGAAGACCAGAAGAAGTATCAATACCCTCAGAGACTCAGGCACAGCCGGGCTGTGGATGAGCAGCTATTCCCCCATTCCAGCTGACCCATCACCACAGCTCTGTGCCCATTTCTCTGCTGGTGGCTGCAGGTCAGCTTGTCCCACCTTAGCCCCGCAGCCTCTGCGGGTACAGACTCTGCTGCCGTGCTCCTGCCTGTGCTTCCTCACTGGTGATTTCAGAAGCCAAGGCAAAGGCATCCCTAACCGGGCAGCCAAGCGGAGCATTAAGCCTGACCTCTCCGATAGAAGAAAGCGACCAACAATTTAACCTTTACAAAGATCAAAAAAGTTACAAGATAATTTAAAAACCACAAGACTGCAAGTCTATAACCTCACGGTCTCTGCAGTATTTCTTGATTTCAGCTGAGCTGCTTTTTTTAAGCACCCCTGGTAAGCCAAAGCTTTCTTCACCTCTGAAAGCACCGGAAGTCACCTTTGACGCTCAGGAAGAAATCCAATTTATGACAGGGAACATCCATTCCATACCCAGCCTGCTTTTATTATTGAAGTGCTGGGACACCAATGCTACAAACTCCAGCAGGAAAAGGATTTTTCTAGCATGTAAACACAGTAAGAGGATGCACAGAAACAAGGCCTGTTTGTATGCTCAAGGGTTTCTTCATACACCATAACCGAAAAGGAACTGCTCAGACACTTGCCTAAAGGCAGGAGCTCTGTGCTTGCAGTTACTGACCAGGATAAGGCATGGATCTGTGCTTCAGAAATCTGCGTTCCCCTACGCCTGCACAGGGCATTGTCCTTCAGAGCTGAATTAGGAGCAACAGAGACAAGCATAAGGACTTAAAGGCTGTGCAACAGTGAGCAAAATTAAACTTCCACACCTGATACACATGTTATACACCCCCTGAGTAACTCCCCTCAATGTCATTCCATTCCCATTCAGAACAACAATTTCTATAATTACATCCTTAAGAACTGAATATAGTATTCTTACAATTATTCCAATTTAGCTAGAAACAGCGACAATTTGAAACCAGTTCATTAAATGAATTACAAGAGGAATTATTTTGTTTTCACCCTAAAATGAAGAAAGCCAGAGGGAAATTCTCCTGTATCTCATTGTTCCTAATGGAGGTTCCAGGCAAACTACTGCAAGGTTGTAAAGGGAGGTTTGGATTCAGACTCACCTGATTCCTCTTTATCCCTAACAATATAAACCAATATTCACTCAAACTCCTCATTCAACTAGCAAACCACATTTTTAAAGGGAACATGTTAAAAGCAACAGAATACTCCATTGAAATATTTTCGTTTGGGAAGCAGTAAGAGATTTCTATTTTTATATACACAAATCACTGTTGAATAATTCACTACCACTAGCAAAGAAGTTTTGTTACAAAGTGCGATTTTATGCTTCAAAATGAATTTTGCTGTTACTGTTAAATATAATATTTGCAGCACCATAAACAATAATCATGCTCATGCTCCACTTCTGGCAAGTGGGGACCAACTGCAATAGCACATTTTTTAAAATAAGAATATACAGGTTCTTAAAACACTCGAACATCGGCAGCCCCAGCCTGCCACTGAAATTGGTTTTGTCTGTTGGCTTTTTAAAATACAAAATAATCCTCTTCTGACAGACATTTAAAACCAGCATCATTTAGATCATTATAAACTACCCACAAAAAATCATGCTAACTATTCTAATTAGTTTTTTAAACCTTTCAACTAATGTAACCAATAAAACATTCTACTGTGTAAAAAGTCAGACCCAAGTTAGACAGAATCCAGTGAGTTTTCTCGTGCCTCCAACAGGAAGAGGCCACAGAAGCCACTCAGCCCAAGCACCCTTTGGTGCAAGAGGCTCAGAGTTACATACCCATCCAAAATATCACTGATAGTGTTCCTTGAAACAGGACTGCTTTGAACTGCCTTCTGTTAAAGCATCTCCAGGATTACCTCCTTGCCCTTGCCGTCCCAAGATTTCACCTTGGCCACAAGAAGTTTCCCCCCAGCCCACGTGTCCGCAGACCACGCACAAGTTACCTTGCGGACGTGACAGGAGAAGAGAACGTTCATGTACTTGTCTTTCCGTTTCAGCTCATTGGCAACAGGGATGAAAGAGCCCGTGGTCTGAGGGTTATCTGGTTTCTGAAAGAGCAAGGACAGGCACATAACTCTTCTCGTTTACTGAAGAAAATAATTGTATTACATCACGGCAGGCCAGAGAGGATTGCAGCCGCACCACCTCGTCCAAAGGTTTCCTCCAGCCTCTGCCTCGTCAAAGAGCAGCAGAGCATCTGGAGCTTTATGTGCTTTCTGAAAAAAAAAAAAAATCTTAACAAAACAAAATGCTTAAAGGAAGGATGGAGTAAAAAGGAAGAAATGCAACTTGCCTAGAGAGAATTTCTTTGTTCCTTTTAATTTTATTCTATTTCTTAACATCCCATTATAACTAGAATTTTAGTTTTACATCAAATTCTTCCCTAGCTTTGGCCATTTGAAGACCCAGCTGATGGCATTACTCACTATCTTTTAATGTTGCTTGTGATACTCAAGCTAGGATTAGTGTTCAGAAAAATCACTCCCAGTGTAGTAAAAGTCAAAGACTCTGAAACTATATAAACACATTTACAGAAGAAATTTCAAAGTACTTCTCCCTCCCAAGAAACCAAGTCACTTTTTCAAATGTCCTCCCTTTTAACATTCTAAGCCCCAGCCACTGCAACGACCACTCGTACTCACCAGTGCGATGTAATTCCCCTCCCATGCTCTTTGTAGGCCAATATCAGCTCTGTGACCCTTCAGCACTTCCATGGCAGCAACCTTGGCCCTCAGCTGAGGTAGGACTTCTGGTGGGACGCTCCGGATGAGTTCACCGGCTCTCCACCTGCCGCAAAACACCTGAATCAGTTCCACAGTCTGTACCGTGCACTATGAGGACTACTTCTGCCAGATCAACGCAACAAGGACACCTCTAGACTATAAATGTCAGGGGGAAAAGAAGTCCTTCCATTGCATTCATAAAGCTGGAAACGTCAGTTTTCATTTTAAAGTCACATATAATCTCTGACTCCTAACATATCTGGCTGGCGTACTCCCCATCCCATACCCAGAAGTCAACTCCTGGCACATCTGTTTGCAGTAAAGTTTTTGCAAGCCCATTTTTTGGCTCATTTACAACATCCTTTTATTTTCTTTAATAGCTGAATTTGGCTCTACAATTGAAACCCAACCAACTGTAACATGAAACAGGGCAAGGTAGCCCATCCGTTACGCCACACCACACTGCAGCCCTCAGCAGCAACACTGGGTCTCCAGGATTAATGCTATGAAAAGTCTTTTAGCAACTAAAATTTTGTAGTCATGATAACTGAGCTTATTCTGAAAGCAGGACTCTCTACCCAGCCAGGCTGTGGATGGTTTTCAAGAGACAGCTGGGGGAAGAAAAAAAGGCTGACTTGATCTAATGCTGGTGGTAATCCCTGTTCAAGCAGATGGCTGGACTAAAGATCTCTAGAGGCCACATCTAGCCAACATTTCTCTTGTTCAGAGACTTTCAGAAGCTGTAATTTTTCAAATTGGAAATCACAGAATCACAGAATGGTTTGGTTGGAAGGGACCTTAAAGCCCATCCAGTCCCACCCCCTGCCCCGGGCAGGGCCACCTTCCACCAGCCCAGGTTGCCCAAAGCCCCGTCCAACCTGGCCTTGAACCCTGCCAGGGAGGGAGCAGCCACAGCTTCTCTGGGCAGCCTGTGCCAGGGCCTCACCCCCCTCACAGGGGAGAATTTCTGCCTTACATCTCATCTAAATCTCCCCTCTGTCAGTTTAAAACTGTTACCCCTTGTCCTACCCCCTACACCCCTGATCAAGCGTGTCCCCCCTGCTCTTTCCTGCAGCCCCTTTCAGCCCTGGGGGGCCGCTCTAAGGTCTCCCCGGAGCCTTCTCTTCTCCAGCTGAACCCCCCAACTCCCAGCCTGTCCTCACAGGGGGTGCTCCAGCCCGCCCAGCATCTTTGTGGCCTCCTCTGGCCCCGCTCAAGCAGGTCTGTGTCCTTCTGCTGTTGGTGCCCCCAGAGATGGACCCAGCCCTGCAGGGGGGTCTCACAGAGCAGAGAATCCCCCCCTCGCTCTGCTGCCCACCCTGCTCTGGGTGCAGCCCAGCACACAGTTGCCCAGGCAGGCAACTACTTTGCTTACAACTTACCAGAGGAAAAAAGTCACTAGCTTTTAAATATTAGGAGATTGTAATGAAGATATGAAATATGTCTTCTGCATATAGAATATGGGTGGATAGTGGAACATTGCTTATTCTACTGAGAAAAATACTGGCTTACTATAAGAAGTCTTGAGGAAGTCAAGAAGATTCCTTTTCTCTTCCCCCTCATCTAACAGGAGCTGCTCTTTTCTTCTAAAATCAACCAGAAAGGCTAGAAAGGGGCAAAGAAAGGAAATACAATGGCTATCCTGACTAAGTATTTGAAACAGAGTAATTATTTGCCTGGTCAAGGGTATCAAAAGCTACTGACATGTTCATCTGTGATGTCCAGTTAATGTTCTTCAGCCATTTTTTCAGTTTTTATGGAACAAGCAGTAGCTGTTCACTCCTCTAGGTTAGATGAAAAGACAAGAGGTTTTCTTCGTACCTATGGTAAATGTTCTGTAGTGCCTCTTCAAATCGGCGCAGCACTTTCGGTGGAGTGGGCCACTGCACGTGTTTGCCATAATCCTTCATTAGCCTCACGTTGTGAAAGCGTCGGGCGACCTCATGGATGTAGGCCTTCACTTTGTAGCGGCGGTAATACCTGATAATGGTGAGGGCAGCCTTTGTCCTCTTATAGCGAAGGCGAGCCAAAGTGCCCCTCCAAACCTAAGAGTTAAGGGAGAAATAGTTTTAGCAATAAAAAGCAGGATTTATTTTTTCTTTCTGTACTCCTTCTATACCGCTGAAATCCATAATACGTTAGTTTTATTGTAAAGGAAGTGACTTCATAGAATCACAGAATTTAGGTTGGAAAAGCCCCTCAGGATCATCGAGTCCAACCTTCAGCCCAACTCTACAACGTCCTGTCAGGAGCTGTGGAGTGATGAGGTCTCCCCTCAGCCGCCTCCTCCTCACCCTGAACACTCCCAGCTCCTTCACTGGCTCCTCACAGGATTTATTCTCCAGGCCCTTCCCCAGCCTTGTTGCCCTCCTCTGCCCTTGCTCCAGCCCCTCGAGATCTCTCTCGGATGGAGGTGCCCAAAACTGGACACAACACTCCAGGTGTGGCCTCACCAGTGCAGAGCACAAGGGGACTGTCATCTCCCTGCTTCTGCTGGTCACACTATTTCTAATACAAGCCAGGATGCCTGGCTTTCTTGGTCACCTGGGCACTCGGGGGACTTCTCTGTGCCAATCCAATCCAATTAAAGCATAATGGAATAAACCCCGTGTTTACAGTGTATTGCAAAACAATTTTAACTCCAATTAAAAAAAACATTACTTTGAAAACAGTTTGGGGAATATCTATTCTGGTCGTGTTCTGAAAAGCAAGCAAATATGCAAAACAAATGATATCCTCCCAACTGGCCGGACGGGAAGGCAGCTCCACCAGCTCGCTGCCAGTCTTATTTGTGCCTAGAGAGCAGCACAAGCAGAAACCACACCGTGTTCTGGGCTGCTCCTCCTGACAGCCCGTGCCAAGAGGCACCCCGGGACTCGGTGCAGGGAGGCTGCGTGTGGTGCGGATGTGACCGTGCGTTGCTACCGGCTCCTAACTTGAGGACGTGATGCACGACGAAGCACGGCAGCACCCAGCCGGGCTGGGCTGGTTCTGATGTTTGTACCCTGTAGCCAGAGAAATGCGTATTCACCCAAGGGATTCACCAACAGCTGTACCTTCCCTCTAGTATAATCCAAAGATGAAGACTGTATTTTTGTTTCCTTGTAGAATTAAACTGGAAGGATAATGAGCCTCCTGAATACAAAGAGTGCTTCACTGCTCACTACAGGCCATGCTGGAGAGTTTATTTCCCTCTTGAGAAACATCCCATAGCACCATTGATGCATATCAAGCCATCTATTTACAGAAGAATTAATTAATTACCCAAGGCAATTTCCACCATGATATTCACTTTATGAAGCTGATGTCAAAGGTTCTCTTGACAGCTTTACTGATAATCCTGATATGTGGCTGAAAAAAATATATGTACCAAGCAGATGTGAGGGGCTGCTCTTCTCTATATGCTCAAAATTCAAAGAGGAAAGAGAGAATTTGGGTCCAAAACCCCTCAAAAAGCAGACAACTATCTTCTCTCAACCTCTGTCAGAGTAGCTCCTTCTCAATCTCCTTTGGCCTCACTATCCTTACATGGGATATCTCCTGTTCACAACAGACATGATCCACATAACTGTGGCAGGGTCTGGGGAGTTGCTTGAGCACCCACCACGTCACTGGTGTGTTGGAAGCTCTGTAAAGCACATTTGTGTTCCAGCACGTCAGAACAGAGTCAAGACCCTACATGATGCTGCCCAAACATCCAACATCAGGCTGAGCCAATCCATCCCTCAACTTGTATTTTATTGTATCCAAATGACTGTAAAGCCTACCACACCATTTTATTCCAAGACAGAAACCAGTCCTTGAAACACACTAGGAAATCACGCTAAACCCTACGCTGTTCTGTGGATCATTTACCATGGTGAAGGCCAACCGGTCCCATGCAGCTGAGAAGCAGATGGAGACCAGCTCACTCCTCTACTGTGCGTTGTATATTGTTGAGAGGAAAAGGAGGAGGGGAATCACAGGATCATTCAGGGTGGAAAAGCCCCTCGGGATCATCGAATCCAACCCTTAGCCCGACTCTACAAAGTTCTCCCCTACCCCACATCCCCCACAGCTCATCGAAACGGCCCTTAAACCCCCCCAGGGATGGGGACTCCCCCCTCCCTGGGCAGCCTGTTCCACTCTCTGACCACTCTTGCTGGGAAACATTTTCTCCTCCTGCCCAGCCTGACCCTCCCCTGTTGCAGTTTCAAGCTGTTCCCTCTTGTTCTGTCACTAACCCCCTGTGAGCAGAGCCCAGCCCCAGCCTCTCTGCAATGTCCTGTCAGGAGCTGTGGAGTGATGAGGTCTCCCCTCAGCCTCCTCCTCCTCACCCTGAACACTCCCAGCTCCTTCAATGGCTCCTCACAGGATTTATTCTCCAGGCCCTTCCCCAGCCTCGCTGCCCTCGCTCCAGCTCCTCGAGATCTCTCTGGCATTGAGGTGCCCCAAACTGGACACAAGCCTCCAGGTGTGGCCTCACCAGTGCAGAGCACAGGGGGACTGTCACCTCCCTGCTTCTGCTGGTAAATGGGAAATGATCCTGGACAGCAAAGTGCAGGAAAATAAAGCAAAGCAAGCAACCAGGGGAACAACTCAACACGTGCAAAGTGACCAAAGGCAACGTGGTTCTTATCAGAGCCCAGGTCCTGCCAGAAGCCACTCTCCTAAGGAGGGGGTAGGAATGCAGACTATTTCAGCAGTCAGAGGGAGGAGCTGGGGAAGGGAGGCAGGACATGGGACAGTGAAGGGAAAGGTAAGAGCAGTCCCTGTAACCACGGCAGAAAATCAGCACTGCTGTACTAACCAGACAAACAAAACCAGCAGGAAGACAAAGCACAAGTTTAACGGTGAGCAGCTAACTCATGCTGAAAATCTCAACACTGCATGCATATAAAATAATATATAACACTTTCCTTACTTATTCTTTGAAATCATTACACAAGAGCGCATCTCTGTGCAGAGCAGCATCCTCTGCTTTCACATACGTTGTTCTTAGGAGTCACTTTTGGCTCACTCTGTTATAATTGTAGTTTTAGCTCTATATAACCTGCATATCACAAAGAAATAGAAGAATGTGGCCATACAAAGGGCATCAGAGCTCCTGAGAAGCTCAGGGCTTCCTGAAGCCACAAGCTAAAACCAACTTCACAGGGCCCGGATTTCACCCAAAGCGTGTACGGCTGATTGAGACCCAGCATTTCTGTCTGAGGGCATATCAGATTCAGAAACTGTATGAATTTGGCAGAATCGGCAATTAGGATAAAATAATTGAGTATCTAAAAAGTAGTGAATTTGTGCTCTTCTTTAAAGAAAAGTGAACAAGACTTGAATTGCTCGAGACATTTAACATCAACTGAAGTGTCACAAGTGTCTGCAAGAAATGTATGGACAGTAAACAAGATAAACTGGGTAAAAACCTACACCCAACTTCTCATTTGTTGATTTAATAAGAACAGAAATGAGGAACAAAAGATTCCAGGTTTCAGCTAAACAGCCTTCTGAATGTTATAAAGGATTTCAAGAGAAGAACATGCATTGTGTAAGCTGCTAAAGAGCGTGTAGAGCTTCACTTCTGTCAGTTTTTCCTCAAAACATTTTGAATTGTTTTTAGATACAGAACAACATTCTGGATTTTGCTTCCTTGTGCTTGAAGTAGGCCTGCTCTTGAGGAAGGTCTCTTGCTGTGGTTATTTTTTACACCAGTCAGACATCCCTGGGACAAAGGCGCTCTAACAGATTGCCCCGATGTTGTATCAGCTGCATCACTGCAGAAATTGGCTTCCCAGCAAGAAGTGTCACAATTGCTACAAACACTAGCCTTCCAAATCCAATTATCCAGCCGAGGCATGCCCCTTGGCTACATGCAAGCAGTAAACTATTAATGAAAAGCATGTCCTCAAATCAAGTTGTCATAACTGGATAACCTCATTCCTAGTAAAGACCTTCATAATAGCCACAATGGGAGCACCTCCCAAAAGTAAGGAGAAAGCCAAAGATAACAACAAACTTCTACCAGGAAATGGGGTACAAACATTTTTAAAATTAATTGTGTTTCTGGCTGGGTGTTGTTCTTTTCAACCACAAGGCTCATTTCTGCTCAAGGCAGTCCATTAGTAATGCTGAACTGCCAAGGCAAGTGCCTGATGGTCTAGTAGACTCTTCCAGAAACATGGACAACCCACAAACAAGAGGGCGCTGTCAAGGCAACAAACTCTCTGTTCAGCAGCCACTTTGTGTAGTTGGGAGCAATACACAAGTCAAACAAGAACACTGGAACGTTTCCTATCAAAACACACCTTTCTCAGGCTTGGTTGGATGAGCACTAATTCTCAAAATACTTTTTCAATTCTTCCCCCCAACCTCCAGTTCACAACTCAAGAACATCCAGTTCATAACTCAAGAACATTAAGCACTGTAAAATGAAACTAAAAAATCAAACTTCCAGGGTTAAGTTTATCATGGCATTTAACAGGTTCTCATGTTGCAAAAGCAACTTTTCTGTTACATGCTGGAGGACAATGGTAGAGCCATGGCCATGACCTGCATGCCAGAAACCCAACAGGAAGATCTGTACATCCAGGATTCTACTTCTTTCTTTTGGCCTTCTGAACCCAAAATAATGTCCAAGTCATCTTCATACAGAGTTCAGAAGGATTCAACAGCTCACATACATCACCCTTCCGAAACCTGACAATCAACGAGCAGCTTTCGGCTTGAACTTAAAGCTACACAGCAGCAAGCTGGTAGTTTCAGCATTTGCATTTAGCAAATCTTGCAAGGCCAGGGTAAACAAGCCTGAGAATTGCAGTGCCCTGTATCATTCCTCCCCCAGGCAAGAATAAAATGATACTTCCTTTGGCACCTTTCTGTGGCCTTCACTTCTGGCTAACCTGGCTCCTCAAAAAAATGAGACTAAGGATAACCCTGGCCCCATCTGACCTCCTGAGACTGCCCTGGTATCGTCTGAATCTCTAGCCAGCTTCAACCAAATGTGACAGAGGAACACAAGACTCAGAGAGGCAAGTCCATATATCTTTCAGGGAAAATCAACAGCAGGGTA